AGTGACATAGTCCCGACTTTTTCTTAGCTAATCTTTGAGAAACAATTTGAAAATATAAGCATTTGCCTATTTTATTTATAAGATATAAATATGTTTACTGTGTGAATTTGGTATGTTCCTTAATCAGTTTCCTTTCAAGAATACATTTTTATTCATCTGTTTGTGTTGCTCATCGTGGTTGAGTCAGTAAGCACCAGCAGAGCTTTCCACTCTCTCTGTGAGATTTTTTTGTTGGTTCCAGAGATCCAAGTGATATTTGCAGCAATACGAGATCCTTGTTTAAAGGAGATGGCGGATGCAAGGAGGAGATTGCAGCAAACTTAAAATGTTCCAAAATGGTTTATGTCATTGATGCTGTGAAGTGCACCAAACAACAGTCTGAATCCCATGAGAAATAGTTCTTGCAAAACAAAAACAAAAAAATGCCACTCATCTATTGAAAGTGGATGCCCTTGACATTTTGCAATTTTAAAGTGACAAAAGAAAGCTCAACTGGCTCTTCGGACAGGGAAAACAAGAATTATTCCAAAATTTCAAGGGCCAGGTCCTAAAATCTAAACGGGCAAAAAATTGCTTTTGACTTCCAAGGGAGGAGTTCTGCTGGCAATGAGACCACAGGATTCCATTCCAAATCTGGCTATGCTACCTATGTTACATAGTCTCACTAATATTCAGTGCCTCACTGCAGACACTTCTCTCTCGCATTTATTGACAACATCCAGAATGAGGAGCAACACCCAGCCCTTTTGTCTTTTTCAGAAATCTGGTTTCTATAAATTGTGGTTTTAACATCAGATGAGATCTGTAGTGTCTGTTTCACTAAATCAAAACTGCTTAAGTAAGAACCAAGATATCCAAACCCCTCTATGCCAACACAGCATCCTGAGTTGCTGGCCATCACTCCCTTGTGTACACTGTTTGGTAATATTAACACTCAATAAGATGGTGTTATGTTTGGAAGCCACAAGTGACTTTTCCAAAAGGCTCTTGCAAGTTTCAAACCCCATCTTACTTTAGCATGAAATGGTATAATTCAGAACTCTGTAATGTTTCTTAAATTCTATCTCAGCATTTGTTACCATGACTTTGTTAGAAATAAGAAGATGAGACTTAACTGCCTGACCAGCAGTAATTACCCTGAAATTTACCCCCTAGTGCATGTTTTTTAAAAAAGACAGGCAGCATTTCCATCCAAAAAGCACATCACAGCACTGACTTACTGAGGTTGTCTTAAGCTATTATGAAGTTGTCAGCAGTTCTGCTTTCAGTGCATCACTTCAGTTTTTTATCAAATAACATTGCTGATATTGGCCTGCACATTTAGACGAATTCATTTTATAATGTGTTTTTAAGATCATATCATTATTATTTTAAAATGACTAAATGCTGTGGTATGGCTAATAATGCCCACATGGGATTGCGATGCAATGTGATCAGAAGCATGATTCTGGTACTTCCAGCTGATGTGTATATGCATTGACGTGTATAAGTGTAATAGGAATATATTACATACTAGACCTGTGTGAAACGGCACCATTTTGTTTTGACTTCTGTTTCACCATTTTGATGGGACACTTTTGTTTCAAGTTTCATTTAATTTTGAAGCACTGCTCTGTTTCATTTCATCAAAACTGTTTTGATGTTTCGCCCATAGGCTATAATGGGGAATCATGAAACTGCCTATAACTTTGTCATCTACAGCTTTGTCATTTCTTGCCTGATGTGTATGAAAACAGCAGGGAGGGTAGCCCCTGCTGAGGCCACAAAGCCTGTCAAGTTTCAAGGAGATAGGTTCAGGGGTTTCTGGAAAACTGCACCTCAAGCTGCTGACAAGCAAAACTCGTGTCATGTGTGTGTGTTAAGGTGCAGTGGAGTGAAAACCACAAGCATGGTAGCCCCTGCTGAGGCCATGAAGGCTGCCAGGTTTCAAGGATATAGGTGCAGGGGTTTCTGGGAAACTGCACCTTGAGCTGCTGACAAGCAAAACTCGTGACATAAGTGACTCTGTGTGTGTGTGTGTGTGTGTGTGTGTGTGTGTGTGTGTGTGTGTGTGTGTGTGCGTGTGTGTGTCTTAAGGCACAGCTGTTTTTCCATTCCTCCCCCAGAGCACTGGGGTTGGAAGGGACCTCAGGGAAGGATCACAATCACTGGCCAGCTACACAGTCAATATCAGAGCAGTCCTTCCCCCCTCTTCCCCCTCCCTCTTGTTACTTTCTGTTTCGCAGCAAGTGAGTCCAGCTTCGAAACTCAAACATTTCAAAACTTTCAAAATGTTTTGAGTGCCCTTGTTTCATTTCAAACCTGTTTCAAAGCCTTTCATTTCATTTCATTTTGATTTTGCTGTTTCGAGCTCAAAACAAGTCGAAACAGCATAGATATGAAACACCCAGTGAAATTTTGCACAGCCCTATTACATACCTGGTAGATGCAGGATGTAGCACAAGAGTATATTTGTGGCCTGTGTATATAACAATGGGATTTAAAAAATAAGAGTCTTAAAGATGCTAGCAAGGTTGTGGTGCAATGGGGCGGTACTGAACTGAAAGAAGGGGTAAAGCCAAGTTGCTGTAAAGGGAAAAAGTATCAGGGTGAGGGGCAGTCACTTAAAAAGGTGAGTATCCCCCATATTAAGGAAACTGAAGAGGACTTTGTGTTGCAGTGAAAAGAAGGAGTTTACAAGTCTCAGAAAATGAGCCTTGATTAAAGGAACCTTTTTTATCCAATCCTTGTATACATATGGTAAAAGGAAAGAATGCTAATCTGTTGCTGCTTCTTCATATTATCTCTCTAGGTTTCACTTTGAAAATGGTGTTCCTTCTTTGAGGACTTATCACTTAAATGTAATCATATGTTTTTGTAGAAGAAGTATTACCTGCTTTTAGCACTAATAATGTCTAATACAAAATGTCCCACTGTTTATAAACCACTTTTATACTAGAACAAAACATTAGGAAAAAAACAGAGTTGAAACCAAATCTATCCATAAAAGTCAAGTGTTTGCTTTCCAGTGACTAGAAGGCTTAAGGAATTGGTAATGGGATACAGAGCCTTTTCTCTCAAGGTCAGAAGTTCAAATCTAGCCCAAATACTGTAGCTGGAGATTGTAACATACCAATCTTTGATGGATGTTCAAGGTCCAATGTGAAATAAAGTTGAGGGTCTCAATCAAGTGACAAATATATAAGTGCCCATTTCACTAGAAAACCACATAGCAGGCACTTAGGACCAAATTGCAATGGTATTAATAGTAAATATGCATGGATGGCTTATCATATTTTTAAAGAGTACCTAACTTCTTTTCATTTCAATAGAATATAGGCACTTAGACACCATTGGTTGCCAGTATTCCTAAGGTACCTAAATACTTTTAAAATTATGGCTCCAAATGATATTTCTTAGTTGTTTCAGTTGAGAAACCAAGGAATAGACATATCCAGTGAGCTGCCTTCTTACCTTTAGGCTGCATATAGACATTCTGGAAGATTAGGGGGAGGTTAAATCATATTTAAAATAGCCGTCTGATCTAAGATAAATCAGGATGGGGGGCTACTGGGGAGATTTTGGGGCAAGCAGGCTCCAGGGGGCAAGTGGGATCCACAGGGGATCTGGGGGGCAGGTGGGGTCCATGGAGGAGACTGAGGTCAGGCAGAGTCCTGGGGGGGAGTTGCTGGGGTCTGGGAGGGTTTGGCAGGATCAGGGGGCTTTGGCAGGATCAGGGAGTTCTCTCCCCCATTCCCACCAGGATGAGGGGCCATTTTTATTCTCCAAACCCCCCACCCCCACACAAACAACCTCCCCCAGCAAACCTACCACCCATCCCTCCCTCTCCTCCTGCCCCTCCCCCATACAAACTAACTTCCTCAGCTCCCAGCTTTGGCAAATGCTGATAAAATTGACACCAGAAGTAACTTGTGGGTTGTGGGGCTTGGTGGGGGGGTATGGCTACTCCAGTGGCGGAGCTTTCTGTCTGGGAGAGAGGGCTCGGGGGAGGGCGTAGGAAAAGTGTAGCCCTGGGGTTGAGGCCACAGGCTGGTCTTTTGCAGTCCTGGGGCTGAGCTGGGAACTGTACAGAAGTTCAGTTAGATAGGTCTCACTGGACCCAAGCTAAATTAGACTACCTCGGAAGTACACTTAACTTAGATTGTCCTGGCCATTTTTAGATTGATACAACTGTCTGAACTTCTGTACAGTTTGTATGTAGATCCACCTAACTACTGTAAGATCCACACCTGGGTAAACTGAGATCAGGTGGCCATTTTTAATGCAATCTAACCTCCCCCTAACCTTTCCAAATGTCTGTATACAGCCATAGAGTTGCTCCCTGAAAATCCAGATTGAGGCTCACCAGTGTGATAGAGTGGGGGGAATCTTGTTCTGTCTACTGTTGTGCCCCCATTGTAAAGAAACACAAGATTTTAGCCTCCAAGGCTGCCACTTTGGCATCTTTTACCAACACTAACTTCATTTTAATTAAATGCTTTGTTTGTGAAAGACATACTGGAGCAGTTTCAATTATGAAAAGCAATTATTATAAATAGTCAGGAGCAGTTGTTCTCATGCTTTTCCCAATTCTTAAATTTGCTTTCTCCTTGAGTCATAGGAAGTAGATGAACTTTCTAGTTGTGTAACTTGACCCACTTTTTCACATTTTCTGAAGGAGACTTATGGAACAATAGCAGGGCCTTAGGTTGTGGCACGGCAGTTGATTATGATGGTGTTTGAATAGTTTATTTCACTTTGTGTTTTTATATTGATTGCAAGATGCATTATCATGGTAGGATTTCCAAAACATGGGTCTGATGCCTATTAGCATTAGTGCACATCTAAAGATTAAATGACTAAATATGCATTGTCAGTCTAATTACTGCCTTTGCAAGTTTG